AAATGAGTAGAGCTTTATAATTTTTTTATTACAACATCCAATCACATTGTGCAACAAGAAACATTTTGAGAAAAAAAAAAAAAAGAAAGTTCGGTAGAGAATAGACTTTTTTTGAGAAAAGGAAAAATGATAAAAACAAAGAACCAAGGAATGCCATCCATGTAGAAAAGGACATACAAATTAAAAAAAGGTCAAAATATCAATTGAGTTTCCTAAATCTTCTCCTTCAAGACAAAGAAGACATTTAAATAAGATATTCATGGTCTTGAATCAATAATCTCTAATTCTACGGAAAGGAAGCAAATCAAATCCCTTACAGATTCTTTTCTTTCTTTCTTTGTAAATAAACTAAACGCAGGGTAAAGCAAGAAGGGAGAAGCTTCATCCACGACTTTCCTGCTTGAAGACTATCCAAAGAAGAAATCTTTTCTGCCATTGTGCCTTCAACAAGCAAAGACTGTTAAGGAGGTTGAATCCAGAATCCCACGACCTTCTAGTACCAAAGCAGCAAAAAATGAAGATGGTTTAGGGATCCATTCTCACAAAAACATGCATGTGAGCTGTTTACCAGAATTCTTTCCTTTCTCTCAAGTTGCATATGGTAGGAATTCTACCCTATGCAGCTTCCCGAATATTGCTCGGATAAGAGAAGGATGTAATTTCCCTTTACCTCCTCAAAATAATAACCCCAAAACTACTTATCAATCTTAATTTAATAAAAATATGCTCAGCAATTTTATCTCAAGGCATTTGAGAAAGAAAAGATTACCCTAACCACACCTCACGCACATAAAATAACAAATTTATGTTTTCATAGGACTCTGAGTCGGCTTCTTTCTTTCCGTATACTTAAAGAAGAATTCTAACGAAAATCCAGAGAACTATCCTGAATCCACCATGTTTTTCTTTTTGTTGAATAAATCCCGAACCCACCATGCATAAAGGTTCATTAAGAAAGTGGAACTTCCACTCTCGAAAGTAACAAAAAAGAAATTTGATGAGTTGACAAACGATAACATAAATTCGCTTGATACAAAGAACTCACATAAAAGAAGAAGAACGAAAAAAGCTGATTTCAAGTATTACGTCGAACATCCATTTCTTTTAAACCAAAAAACAAAACAAAAAAAAAAATTGAATTGCAAAGCAAAACCTAAACAGAAAATCTTCAAATAGTCCTCATAAACCCTAATATCGCATATAAATCAAAGATAAAAAAACATATAAGTGTATTGAAAATAGAAAGGTACCAACGGAAGCATTGTTTTTGGAGAGAGAACCAGAGCGAGAGTCCCTGTGATTAGGAGGTTGCTTCCCTATCATAACAGATTGCGCCATTTTGTCCTTGCTGTTGGTGGCCCTGGAGGTAGACGGCGAGGATCTCTCGAGATGCTTGTCGAGGGCATCATTAATTCGCTTCCGATCCACGGCTCCCACCTCGGACTTTGACCCACCCGCTCCACGCTCTCTGTACATCCTTCTCCTCTTCCTTCACACCTTCACCTTCACCTTCACCTTCTCCTTGTCCTCCTCCTCCGCCGTCGGAGACTGTCTTGTTTCGCTAGTATGGCCGATTCATGGTGGTTGCAATTACCAAACTGACCCCATTTGGCAAGAAAAATCAAGGGTTTGCTTTGGATGAACAGATGGCTATTCTCTCTCTTCTCAAATTCGAAAAGTTATGCTCGGATTTTATTGGCTATGGCCGTCGGAATTACTGAACTGGTTTAACAGTTTGGACAAATATTTCATTTTATTTAAGATTTAATATTAAAAACATTATTTAAGGGGGGGAAAAAAAAAACAGATTTTTTGGATTAAAAAAAAATAAAATTTGTTAAAATTTAAGAGAGAAAGAATTAGTCAGGCAACAAAGGGAACTTAAAAAGACGAATTTCATCAAGTTTGAAATCAAACTCATATCTTTATGGTATATAAATCTGAACTCATTCTGAGTAGATTTAATTTTATTTATTTTGTATGGTACGAGTTAGCAATTTACCCAATTTGCACCAAATATGTTTAGTTTTTCTTGAATGTTTTTTTTTTTTTTCCCTCTCTGAATACAACTTTCTTTTTTTCATATTTTGCAACTAATCAGTATTTATTTTAAAATTTAAAAAAATAATTATCACATTATAAAAATTTTATCGGGATCATCTTATGTACACTCTCGTACTTACTCGTTCATCTCTTCTTTTTTCTTTTATTATCTACACCATTATTCACACATATTCTATCAATACTCTCCTTTTTGTGATTTTCTTTTTTCATACAAAGCTTGTTCGAATTCATTCCTCTTAACAATTTTTTAATTAAATCGCTGTTTAGTGTTTTTATTCTTGTTGACACTTTTAATCAGTATTATTTTTTTTATAAAAAAATAATAATAATAATAATTTAAATACATCAAGAATAAATTAATTTTGTAACATTTTTTTATACTACACATTAATAAAAAAATTAATTAAATTATTTTTTCTATTCATAAGACACAGATAAGTTCAGTGTCTTTATTCTCATTAACACTTTAATTATTATTCATTTAAAAAAAAAATTAAATTTAAGTTTTTATACACACACACACACATATATAATAATTATTATTTTTTTGTAATAATTAATGTTTTCATTGACATTAAAAATATAAATAATATTGTGAAAGATATTAATATATGTTGATTGGTACATTTGAAACATTGCAACCATTTCTTATTACTGTTTACAATAATCAATTTACAATTGTTTGGTCAATACATCAAAAGACACCATTTAGTAATAGTCACAACTATTGGCAAAAATTATAATATCTGATCGAAGAGTGCCCACACCTCTACATATAAAAGATGAATGACAATAGCTACTTGTAATTTCCTCATATAAATACATCTCCCTTGAATTGTCTAGGTGTAAAATAACCTAAAAATACACTATATTTTCATCTATTGCGGCAAAACAGCAATTCCCTAATGGGTGGAGATGTATTTAATCTCGATATGCAATACAGATATATATATATATATATATATATATATAGCCTTATATTATTTGGATTGTTCAAAATTCTAAAATCTGGTATCATAGGGGGTATTTGCCTATACCTTTACGTGCATTTGTTGGTTTTTATTTCATGTTATGCTAAATTTTTACCTAACGTCATGGTTTTTTGCAAAGTTGTTTTGAAATTTTTTCATGTAAACTAATGTTAGAAATCATTAGGAAGTTGATTATATATATATATATATATATTCAGATGGGTTATGAAATGTCCAAATCTTTAATCAATCTGCAAACCAAGTCATTCAGGTCTTTCTTCTGTTAGAAACTAAGACGTCATTTAGGAACCAGAATACATGTTGTCATAGTAAGAAATGGTATGCAATTTCAAACGACATGTCAATTTCATAGAGAATAAATATGTCACTGGTTTAATCATAGAGATTTCTAACTCAAGAATGATATGAATCAGATAGCCCATAATGTAACCCAATTGTTGATTTAATTTGTTGTGTGTGCTAATAATATTCATTTAAAATTAAATATGCAATGCACAGGAGATGAGAGAATTAAACTTACATAACAGATACAAAATGAAAAAGAAATCGAAAATTTTGCCTATCCATGTTTACAAAAGTTGCTTGATTAGCTAAGATGAGCTCAACCAATTTTCGTTTTACCATTCATCGTTTCTAATCTTATTTCGTAAAAAGGAAACTCATTTTCACAAAACATTAAAGATAGTATCAATAAAAGCCATTTTATTTACTGTCTAGTTTGCAACACTTATCATGCACGTGTCAATGAACAGGAATAATTGCTGCCATTGTATCTTACCTAAGCCGTCTTTTTATTGAACAACAGAAAGCAAACTGAACATATGGATGTGCATGCATTGAGGTTCACAAATAGGTCATAAACCAGAAGATTTCTAACATCAACATTTGAGAAGATTTACGTTATTCAAAACAGAGAGAATACAAACCCTAATTGTCAAAAGGCGCCCGTTTTCGCCCATGTTCACTCCACTGTTATTCATTTCCCTCGCTCTCTATTGTCCTATCACCGAATTCACACTTCTCATCACTGTTTGCATGCACAAAACCCAGAAATTCCCTCTTAGAATTTTATGCAGTTATTATTTATACTTTTTAGATATATAAATAATACTTCATATTTTATTTCCTTACTATCTTGGATCAGGGCAGGTAAAATTATGAATAGAATAAATAAAACCCAAGTCCATTCCTACATTTTTTTATCTTAATTTTTTTTTTTTTTTTGGTTCAAACCCACAGGTCGAACTGGCAGATTTTGATGGGTCTATCGGTCAATGATCAAGTCTTACTGTTAGCTATGCTACAGTTACAACCAAAGATTATGAAAGAGGATAACTAGTTTTTTTTTTTTCTTTTTGAAAGAAGAAGAGGGTACCTACTCGTACATGGTTGAAGGAAACAAATTCTTTCCATGTACGACAATCAAATACAATTTCATTTAACATTCTGTCTGCACTTTCTTTGAGTGATTCCAACAAATGGTGCCCCCTGTAAGATTGGGAATCTGACATTTCATCCATCAATTACAATTAGGATTTTTATCATGGAAAAAGTTATAATTTCAAACATCTCCAATCTTTCAAGTTTCAGAAGTTCACTTTAACCCCATCACTGAAAGTTATCTTGCTTCTTTTGGGCAATTCTTCTTTTGTTGCCTACTCTCTTCTCTGAAGAAGATCTATAGTGTTTTTTTTTTAATAAGATATGAACTGAACATGGCAAGACTGTACGCCAAAGAGCCTTCTCATTAAGCTTTTACCTAACTTTAAGTTACACAGTTGGAAACCATACTAGGCACAACAGCATAAATGCATAACTCTCTTGTAGATGACAAGATTATAAAAGCAGATTCCATACCTGGTGGACTATGTTGGAGCCATCTGGTGAATCCTCTTCCATCAAGGCTCCTGTAAAAGATTCTTCACCTTCTTACTGCTAACCAAGTTGGAACAGGCATCAGAAATCAGCCAACAACAAGATGCAATCAGAAGGCCGGTGAAACAAACTGCTACTTCCAATATCATTTCCACATTAAAAGATGGGATCTGTAGTTATACAAGCAGATGATTCCTCGCAAACAGAGAGCAAAACAGTTGGCATCATCAATCTTCAGCGAAATACTTATCCTCAGCATCACGGTTGACTTCTCTTATCCAATGATCATCAAGGGTCTCATCATTGTCTATTTTTGAATAATCTAAATGTTGATAGTCTTCTCCTGAGAGAACCTTCTGTTGCATGATATATGTGAACTGTTCCATCATGTCTTGCCTATCTTCAGTTGATAAAGCGTGTCCCTTGGTGTTCTCCTCTGTTGTCAACCGGGCACCATTGGCTGCCTTAGTATCACTCAAGGGCATCTAGAAGTTACAAGGAAAAATTTTAGTGCTTTAGAAACCATGCAACATTTTATTATATCTTATAGCTGTTCTGAATATCAATAACACATTACAATTCCTCACCATATGCTAAACTGGAAATAATTTGAAGGATTTGAGAGTATACAGCAAAAATTCCTATCAAGCTACATAAGTTGCAGCACAAAACATTTTGAACACTTAACAGCATTATCATATCACTATAACACCAGGTTTCTGCAGCCCAAGTATTATTATACAACTGGGTCATTGGGCTGTAAATATATATCAAAACTTCTCCTATTGCACTACTTTATGAGATGAGTAACTTACGAACTCTCACATTTAGATCTCAGTATCTTCCCGAGCAGGAGTCCCCACAAACACAAACCTGCCGACCAACTATCTACCAACCTACATCTATATAGCCAACAAAATATGGATCTCAGTTGACTTTGATACCAGATATCTCGAAATTATTATGCGATGCTGCTATGGCAATCAAAATGACACTTTTAGATCACTTGATTGTAACTATATTACCTCTCTCTTAAAGCATCATCCTCATACAACATAAATCAAAAAAGAAAAGAATGGCCTTTATGAAAGCATTAAAATGTACACTATACCATGAATAAAATTAAAAAAGTCCTAGGAAAGATTATGCTAGTATCTCCTAAACCTATTACATAATTTCTAGCTCCATAAGGAAAGCAGACACAGAAAGAGGCTGATCAAAGAAGAACTTTGCATCTAACAATGTCTTTCTAGATACAATGCTGAATAAATAATGTTCATCTCTCCTTTAACATCAGCAGCAGGCCTTTCAGGCAGTTCACTGCAATGAACTAACTAAAAAGTGTTTATTCAAATAACTTGAAGCACTAAAAATCATATCTCATGGGCATATAAGCCAAACATGTTTTGTAACCCACTTAGCTCAGCACCAAGTTTTGGCATTTCCACTTCTATAAACCAATAATCGCTAATCAGTAGACCAGCAGTGAAATATAACTGTTCAAAATCAAAGATAAAACATGATCGATAAATTTCCCTTTCATACATGCACATCTTTCTCATCATCGTGATTTTTAAATGGTGTGGTTTCAAATTATAGTCCACTATTTTTATAGGAAAAGAGGAGCTCATGTTCCAAATGATTCATAGGGGAAGACACCATGTATAAAAAATTAATGAACTCCTGGAAGCACTCTTGCTAAACAGTAACACGAGCCTTGACAAAAATTCCACCAATTCAAGCAATTACTAGTTAAGCCTTCCCATACCAATTACCTGCACAACTCCAGCTCTCAAATATAAAGCTTAAAAAGCCTGAGCTGCGATATGTAACATCTTAAAGTCACTTTTATAAAAAAAATATTCATACAGTGTTTATTAGTCCAAAGTTGAACAGATAATAGAGCAAGAACAAGGCAATGAGAGGAAAACGTATGCCCTACCAGCCACATGAAATCTAAG